TTTACTATGATTTTATGAGGTGGGGCATTGCTGCCCCTCATTTATAGATGAGGAAACAGATTGTATTATTCAAATTAAACGATTTACCTAAAGTGACGGTTAATAAATGATGGGACCTGGTTTCAAACCCAAGGTTAAATGACTTAGAGCTTAAGCTCTATTACTCTACCATTCAAGAATTCTATGAACTTAAAATTTACATTACTTTGGAGTTCACATCCCTTCAGTCAGAGCTTGTTTACTAGTTACTTAGATACAATTCTAACAAGCTTGGTTGTTTGGTTTCCAGATTGGTTGCCAGGTAGAAAAAGGCAAGATTGAATATAACAGCATTACAGACATGTATTTCAAGAAACAGAAAGCAATCTGAATGTGCAATAATAGACCAATAGTAACGCCTTTACCTTGCGATGTATGAAACTATTAAAAATATAAAATCTTTGACATTGGAAAATGTCTGTTAAAATCTCAGGCTATAAAGTATACCTATCTTGGTAAATATTGGTTATAAATATATTAAAAAACATCCTGTCATATACCAAAATTTTAATAATTACATTAGATAGTAGGCTTATAGATATGTTTAGATGCTTCTGTTTTTCAATTTCTCCATGGGCAGTTCTAACTTCTATAACTGAGCACACACACACCTCTACTTTTTAAACCTTTTAGAGACAATGTTATGAATCTCGGTACCCTATGCCCAGAATTTTGTATAGCTCAAATTCAGAAGGCACATGAAGGAAAGAGGTAATTAGCAAAAAGAACATAAAGAATTCCTTCCTAGGCACCAAGCTGCTCTCAGGGAGACATAAGAAATATATTATTGAATCTTTGTCAAAAGTTTAGGTTTCTGGGTAATTTCGTTCACTATTGGGCTGGTTTCCCCAATTTGAAAGCCCTAAAGTGATCATGAGAAAGATTTTCTGAAGTGCACTTCAGGGTCTGAAGGTAAATCTTTTAGAGGAAGATAGTAGATCCCTGTGAGGTTCACTGGATTATAAGCCAAGGCAAGGTCACTCACTGCAAAGGAAAGAAAACTAGAAGAGATAATTGAGCACAAAAAGTTAATCGACTTTTCCTTTAAACTGTCATTTATTTAGTATTGGGGAGGAGGTGAATATCTTGTCCTTTGGTGTAAAGACTAAAAAAGGTAAATGAATGAGTAAATGATTAGTCAGTAAACCCAAATGGACTATAGATCTGTAATAATGGACTATAGATCTGTAATAAATCACTCTAATTAATGCAACATATATTTTATATACATATGCATATCCTTTAACAATAAGCACAAATGGAATGTGATTATTGAAAATAAGAAAAAATGAGGAACCAGGTAAGAAAATAGAATTGATTGAAAAATGCAAAATTCAAAACTGTAATGGTGCAGATGCACAAGACTGGTTGGGGACAGGTTCATCTTAGTAAACACCTTTAATCAAACTGTGAAATCTTTGTTTTAAATTTTAACCCTTAAGTACAACTCTTTTTAATATACTGTATAATGAAATTAGAAATACGCACAAAGCACTTTCCTGCACACGTAGGTGCAATGATTGTCTCAAAGTAATATACCTGTCCAACGGTTTTCAATTTTGAGCTTTTTTCATGGCACCATCATTTTTGCTTAAAAGAGCAACTCACGAACAAACCATGTTTGCTCAGACTTGGGTATTTGGAAAAAAATGAGTCTATCACGTCCAAGGAAACCACTATTGTTGCCAATGATAAAATTTGAGTTTTTAAGCAAAAATTAGAATTTTGGAAAAGCTGTGACCTACTCAGCTTCCCAGTTTTTAAAGTGATGAGATCAAAGGTGATATTAACATGATTATTTGAAATATAAAAAGTGTCAACATTTAGAATATCTACATAACTCATACCACCATCTTCCAACTGAACATTACGTTATGAAATCATGAATGGGTAAAAGATCCATTTCAAGTGGAAGACAAATGGATTTTACTGTTATCAGTGCACAAAAAGTTTGACCTGGTTTCAGACTGCAACTGACTTTTAATGTTACCATTTATTGATTTTTGGCATAGTATCAAAGAACATCCACAGTCATCTAAATAAAAGGTTATTAAAATATTCCTTTTTCCAACTACACTATCTGTGTGAAACTAGATTGCCTTCATATTCTTCACCTAAAACAATCTATTACAACAGATGTAGGTATAAGAAGCCAGCTGTCTTCCATTATGCCAGGTATTAGAGATCTGTAAAAATGCCAAATGATGCCATTAGTCTCACTGAAACATTTTTGAAGTTATTTCTCATTAAAAATATTAATGCAATGAATTTATTATTCTATCTGGAAACAGACAAAAAAGTTGGTATAAAGTAATATTTTCAACACAAACTTTGCAAAAAGATCAGACTATTTTAAATCTAGCTCTTAAAACTAATAATGTAGATAATCATATTGAACCTATTCAAGTGATTTGCTAATACTAGACAGTGGTTCTTCATGTTATCTACTGGCTAAGAAACAAGCATTTTAAATCATAAAAGCGGGTCATAATGATTGCCATTAACACTGAAGTCTGGTATATTTCAATTAAAGTTGTTAAGAGTAGATCCTAGAGTTCTCATCAAAGGAAAAAACATTTTTCCCCCTTCTTTTTCTAACTATATAAGATGATGTTAACTAAATTTACTGTGGCAATCATTTCACGATATATGTAAGTCAAATCATTATGCTATATACCTTACAGTGCTGTACAATGTCAATATCTCAATAAAACTGGAAAAAAATAAAAGTGGGTTAAATCAATTTCTCATCACAAACCCTGGGCATACATTTAAGTATGACCATCAGCTAATTGTTCTAAGGATTATTCTAAAACTATGTATTATCTTTTATTTAGAATTTGTCAATGTCTGGACAATTTGTACTTCTTAGAGACAATGTCTCAGATCTTCCTATAAAAGTTGAGGCCAGCAAAACTAACCCTTTAGGGTCTATATTCTAAAAGGAAAAAAAGAAAGCACCACACAACTTCAGATTTTCCTGCAAGAATTTTATAAGGAAACTGAAGAGACCTGCCAGACATAAACATAATTGGTAGATCTGTACTGAATATATAGTAATAATAAAGATGGGCTGTTTCAAGCACTTTCTGTACGAATTCATTCAATCCTCATAACACTTAGAGAGGAAAGGCTACATATTTGTCCAAAACCACACAAGCATCAATCTACAGAATTATCAAAATCAGGCTGTTTGATTAAAGAAACTAGAATTGGCTATCAAATGCTTTCACTATCTCAGCAAAGATCTCTTTACCCTCTTCTTTACTTGCTGCAGATCTTTTAGTTTCTATTGGTAGCATTAGATTCTATTCCCAGAAAATATAGTCCTTAATACTTATTAACACCCTGTGCTTACAAAATGCCTTGAAAACAGAACATCCTATCCATAGCTTATGAGAAAGGTCAGGTAGGAGCAGTGGAGAGCCATTAGTTTACATATTTCATCTGTCTCCTCAGTTATGAGGGGAAAACGACCAGCCAGTTTTCGATTTTTCCCTAGATTTGGCATCCTCAGGTGCCAACATACATGAAAAAACCACTTGCAATACATCTACCATAACTTCCACAATTATTAAAAAGTAGCTTTAGAAGCTACTTTCTAGCTTTTCTGTTATGGACAAGACAAAGTTATTGTAGGTTAGCTGTTGACTAAATTAAAAACTGACATAAAAATCTCAAAATGATGTTAAGCGAAAGTAGCCAAGATATAAAATTTTTACTGGGTGCTTCCATTTGTACAAAGTATAAAAGCAGCCAATGAGGGTATTAGAAGCTGGTGGTGGTGGTGGTTTGAGACTGGAAGTAGGAATGACGGGACTTACGGGATTCTAGTATTTTCTTGATGAGCTCAGATTACTCAAGCTGTTGCTATTGTTCACTTGGTGCACTTTCAGTATCGTGCATCATTATTTTGCCCATTTAGACAAATATGAAATTTCTTCCCTCACATCTCGTGTATTCTTCCTTCCTCTTCGTAACCTCCATTGAACGGCTATAACTCTTTTGATCACCAGTCTCCTCCATACTTGCTCCCAATTTGCTCATCTTAATTTCTGAACAGTATCTCTTTCATCATTATACTCTCTTAAAAATTTCTAATACATAGGAAATTGTGTGGTATAGTTTAATGAACGTTTGTCAAGTGCATAATGTAAGATACGTTTATCTTCCTCGTTTCAGTTTGCCAATCGAGTACAGAACGGAGTACACACATTTATCTTCCTCATTTCAGGAAAAGGAGTGCTGCAACTGTCATCTGTCTTGGCCCCAAGACTGGACAATTGCTGTTGGGGTGGGGGTGGGGTATGCAGGCTGTAACATCCATTTTTCTTGAGGTCCCTCTATCTTTTTAATCTCTTAGATTCATTTCCATGCCCCCCCCCCCGGCTTTTTGCAGAATTGTAGTGCACCAATGCTATCATACAACCAAATGGTATCCCAGAATGAATTCTCCATATTTGTTTTATACTACATTTACATGTTTCCTGGGTCAAACCTGTTCTACAAAGTCTAAAATGTCACCACCTCCACAAAAGGTTTATTCTTTGAGTAGCAGCCCTAAGAGGTTTCTATAAGTTACGATTCCCTAGATCGGAATACTTACTGAGCAGCCTAACAGGTACATGACATTGTTGTTTGACAATACGATATATTCTTACAGCCCTTATATCTTTCTTACTTAAGGGTAACTTCTCCAGTTAACTGTCTTTCTGCCTGGTTGCTAACAGGGCTTGAATATCTTGCTGCGTGACCACTTGATAAAATAGCCTCATAAACTGATTAACATTTGAAATAAAGATAAAATAGGCTTATAAAGTTTAATCCAAAATACAGCATCAGCATGTGGTAGCTTTCTCCTATCCATTTTTTAAAGGTTATCTCCTACATGTCTTCCAGAGAGAATTATGGGAATTAAATGTCATCATGTTTGCCTCGAGACAAAATTTTAGACACAAAAGTAGGAGAAAACCATTTTTAATTGAAAAATAAAGCAATACATCTTAAATAAGATTGTTTAACACCATAGACTGTAATTTGAGGGAAATAGCTTTACTAAGTGGGACTGTGAAATTTAGGCATCAGTATCAAGAGTTTCCCACCTTTATCTTGACTCAGCTATATGCATATTAAAAATAAGGACTTTCTCATAAATTGAAACTGTAAATCTGTATAGCCTATCCCTATTCCTAATCCACTGACAGAAGGAGGGGAAATTTTAAACAAACATTTCCATACTAAGGAGTTCCCAGATATAGCAAACAAAATCAATATTTTCTTTATGAAAAAAGCTTATATGAAACACATACAAGACTATTAATGATATTTAATTCACAAAACTTCAAAACACAAATTCATCAAGATGATCTCTTACTATAATCTTCCTCAAGTTCTTACATCCCAAAATAGTTTAACTTGACATACTGGAAGTATTAAACTTTGAAAGAAATTATTAAGGTTATTGCTTTAAACTGGAAAATTCTATGGTCAAAGTCTCTTTTTAAAGAGTTCCTTAAATAGCTAATCTTACAATTACACTCATGTAACTGCAGAGAAAATGTTCAAGCACGTAGTAAACATCACTCTTGAATGACAAAACAAAGGCATTTGCTCATTAAGATGTATGGCTTTTTTGGTAATTGTTATTACAACCCATAAATAAAGTTATTACTGTTTGACTAAAAAAGGTTTTTACAAAACTCCACTTCCAAAATTAATGTTTTTATTAAATCAAGTTAAAAAAGTGTTCACTGTAGAAAAGTCAACAAGGGTTTTAACAAAACCAAAATATACCTTTTTATACAATATATGTATATATTAGCAGCAAACTACTTCGGAGATTTTTTAATTTTAAGTTATTTTAAAGAAAGCATAAACAATGTATATTAGTATGGAATGTCAACTAATCCATCTTTTACTCTGTGATTGGGCCTTCTAGTACAACTTATTTTATGATTCTTATTAAGGAATGCTAAGAACAAACCCAGTTCGACTAAACAGCAGTGAAATAGAGTGGCTGGTAGAAAGTGTCTACTTCATAGTCATGTATTATCTTTGAGAACAAATGAGCACCATATAAACAGTAATTGTGTGTAAACTCAATTTTTAAGGTGTAACAGCAGCCAACTTAACATTTGACTAACATATACAAAATTTTAATCAAATCAGAAAAACACTTCAATCCCATATTACTTATCAATTTTTAAAATCTTAATAGAAATTCTGTATATAACCTGACAAACTGCATGCATGCGCATATACACCTACAAAAGAGTATGTGCATATACATATACCTTTAGCTTTGACTGAATTTCTCAACTGAGATGAAGCCAAACTTCTCAATTAAATATATATGTAGAATACCCAACTGAAAGTTTCTAGCAAAAGTTTCATCTTAGCTCATCAAAGCTATTGAAACTTTTGAGGCCAAAAAGCTGTAATTCATCTTAATATAATGTAGGCTTACAAATTAGTCAGCAAAACAAACAAGATTTGAAATTACCAACTGCCACAAAAGAAGGAAATTTTTGTCTTGATAGTTCCTTTTAATAGCAAAAACAGGAAATATCCTTACATTGAGCTTTTAATTTTTAAACAGTTCAAATTATTAAAGAAATCCCCGTAGTCTTCAAGAATACTAAATGTTATATAATACCGCATTCTCATAGTTCAATTCTTCAGCTAGAATGTTTTAAAAGTTTCCTTTGGATTGCTTTATTTAGCACTTCAAGTCTCCATTCTGCACTCTGATAACTGGCTCAGATTTGTTAGGTTTATATCAATCAGATCATTTAGATTTTGCTACTGTGTTACCTGTGTATAACAACATTAATGGAAGAAACTGCACCAAATTTCAAAAGCAACATATGGAAAAATTAAAGAATATGTATTATAAAAAAGATAAAAGTATAACAGAGATTCCCTTTCATTAATGAAATATAATCCTTTTAATGCTTTTAATGTCCTAACTTTCACTTATCAAGAGGATGAAATTTTTTAGATAACCCACCTTTATTTTTCAATTAAAAACTAAAACAGTAGACTGAATTGCTTTTATTAATATACATGTCAAGTTATTGAAAAGATGACTTCATGTAGTTTTTCTCCTTAAAGATGGCACTTGCAGGTACAAAGATGCAGAGATGGCTACAGCCTTCAGATGTTTACTTGAAACGATTCTTCAACAGCAGTTTGATATTGGGTTTCCTCATCTAGCTGAAGGTTCTAAAAACAATGACATTAACATGTCAATAGGAAAAATATACTCCACTATCCAATACTTTGATCACATACTTGAAACAGTTTGTTACAACATATACTATCCCTTAAAATATAAGATTTAAATACTTGAACTTTGTAATAAAGTTCAATTGTAATTATTTAGAAATAACTGATAACAGAAATAGGAAATAAAATTTGAGTTACAGTGCCTTATAAATTATTAATTAAAAGTATAGTTAAGGGTATATATAACCCACAATCATAAAGTGATAAACTGTGTCATTTCTAGAAAAGAATGACCAATGTTTGAAGGTAATTTAAAAGAAAATAAGCATTTATTAAATTAATAGAGCTGAATAACAGCTTCTTAACCATTACATGAAGCTAAAAACTACTACTCCTTAACTTTAAAACTTTTATTTGCTAGCAATTGTCTTACGGGTTTGCTTTAAAATAGGCTTCCACTTGACAATCTCAAATAATTAAAATTACGTATTTTTCTGTGGCAAGGTAAAACAAGCGGACGATTAGGTCAAAAGCAGTTCTCCAAATATATTTTGTTTTTCTGAATACACAGTTCTCCAGTCAGTGACCTTTCTTACAATGAGAATTTAAGAATACTATACAATCACTTCATAAAAATGCTGAAATTGTAAGAGGACATCTGAATTTTACATATATTTGAATTATTATTTTGAAACAGTATGACTTTAAAAATGCAAATTCCACAATTAAAAATTTATCAAGAATGATATAATTTCAACATTGGAAGACATAGAAAAATGTAAATTCTGTTCGTGCCACTGTCATGCCTGTGCTTACCTGCACTTGAAAACAACTATCAGTCATTCTCTGCCAGAATTAATCTTAAATTGGCTAAGTTTTAATTCACTATAAGTTGAATAAAATGCAATTTTGTAATTAATAAAAGTCATCATCTAATTTTAAAAAATTATAACACATCTGGGAGGCAGAAATTAACCCCATGTTTTGCTTTGGGGATCCATTACCTAACTTTGCCTAACATTACATTACCTAACTTTCTTCACTCACCCTGTTAAAGCAGTAAGTTAAAGCGAGAATCTACCTTCCGACCTGGCTTTACTTGGTAATTAAGCTCCCTTATTTTTTAAAATGTGTCTCTCATGCTAGATAAGAGATCTAATATAATGAATTTAACAAGCAACTTACACTACATGAAAAATGCATCCCCTTTCATCTGTTGTATCAATTTTACTTCTCCAGTAGTTAGTTTTCCCTAATACAGTTTTCATATAAATGATTATTTTATAAATCTCAGGGTTTGCTCTTCCTCTATTAATTACCTCTCTAGTACAGGAAAGAGACAGTAAATTCAACTTTTACTACTTCTACAAACCAAAATTTACCTATATTATCATGAAAACAATAAAACTTGTGATATAACCATCCAGTATGATACATCTTGCCTCAAAACTCAAGTTTAGATTGAAAAAGGTAATTTAACTTGAATATTTAAACAGTATATTCTTAATCTTGAAGAATTCACTTACCACAAATTCTCCATAATCAAACTGATGTCTTTGATTTAGATGACTAACGAAATTTCTAGTAATCTGGCTAGGATCTCCCCAAGGAAGAGACACACAAATAGGACACGTCTATGAGAAACGATGTTTTAAACAAAAATAAAAATAATAACATGTAATTATTGAAGGTATTAAAAGTACTAAAAACACCTACATGAAAAGCATTTCTAAGGGCAAAATTCCATGACTAGATCATTTCCCAACCAAATTACTTAAAATAAATTACACTAATCTAAAACAACACAATAAAGAGAAATCTTATACATTCTATTATTTAAATCTCCAATTACACAACTATTTCATCAGAAACACCACATCGAGCCTTTAATACCAATTGTAATAGTGGTTATCATTAACCAGTACGTAATCTCATTTGAGCTGCATAATAACAGTGATGTAATTATTATAAGCTTAATTTCATTTATAAGTAAAATGAAAGTATAGTAAACTTTAAATTGTATTCTTAAGGTTTTGAATGAAGTACATCTTAAAAAATGAATGGATGACATACTGAAATAAAATAAAAAGAAACTTCAGTAATTGAACTCTAGCCAAAGTTTATGCTATATTGAATACAATGCAAAAACAAAAATTTGCTAATGCAATATAGAACGAATAAAATCTCTTAAATATACAGTTTTTCCTAGAGATGTCTTTAGCACTGTTTATTTAACAGTAACTGACACTCTCCTAATGAGCAAAGTCAGAAGTATGTGACCCTTTGTGCTATAAAAGTGTTTAAGGGCATCCTCAATAGATACTGAGGCATATTCTTTCACATTTGTTCTAGTACATTCACTAAAGCTGCTTTGAATGATCCACAATCTCATTTTATCTACAACATTTTCCTATTTTTATTTCTGAAGAAAATATTTTTATATCAAAATGTATAGCTAAAAGGGAAATATCTCAACTCAGCCTCTCATTTCATCCACAGTTGAAATCACTTACCTGTGAAACTCATGTTCCAAAGGAGGAGTTGTAGGATCATTAACACAATGTTGGAATCCTGCACTCTGCACTATCTCCTTCATTCATCAAAAAGGTCTCACCACTTTCTTACCTACTCTCAAAATGGCACCAAAAAGATACATACGCATCAAAAAGAAAGTATGATTCTTTCCCTTCCTTGCTGTATGAATTCATATACTAGATTCTGCAAGGATACAATTAAAAATAGCTACTGACTTTATTCTTATAGTTCTCACCTATAGCAGATCCACCTGACCAGATGGAGCTGACTGCATCCTGTAGAGCAAGAAACTGAGAAGCTCCAATTGAGTTAGGTTTTGCCACTCCTCAGTAATGGCTTCCCAGAATTCACCTTTCATTACTGCACTCTTCTCCAGACTACTCTCCTACATTTCCCTCACTATAAGCATCTCCCCCTTTTATAAGTTACTAGAATTTTAAATATCTTGTTTTGCTTCAGTTATCATATTTTGTTGACAAAAATCTATCTTTTTGACAACACCCCAACCAAAATCAAATCAACTAACTTCTCTTATTGTACACATGAAATGAAACAGCGTACTTTAAGCAGAAGACTGTCTTAAACATATGTACTTACCACAGGAACTATCTGAAATACGTGATTACTGTTACAGTGATCCAGTAAACGCTGTCTAGTAAAATTTGATTCTTGACACAATGGACACTTAAAGGTGGGATGCCCAGAAGAACTATAAAACAATTTTAAATGAAGTGTACTTAATTTGAAATCACAACATAGAAATAATGCTCTTCCATTGTTTGACCAATTACTGTTTCTTTTTAAAAAAGTTATAATCAGACTATTCAAAGATTTTCTAATTTTGAAAAACACTATGTTTTCAACAAATAATCTAACAACAGATGTTCCCAATCTCATGTTACAGTACTATTAATGTCTCAATAAATTTTTTCATGGTGCCTCTAATCCAAAACAAAAACAAAAACAAACCTAGCTGTTCCAGGTATTAAGTAGTTAGGTCCAAACAACTTAATTTAGTCATTCATGTGAGGCCAACAGATGCCAATGTATGTACCTTGAAAACTGTAATAATCCTGTGGCATCCCAGTTTGGTAACTCTCTATCAAAGAGCTTAATTTTGAAAAGACTTCCATCAATAGCATATCTTTTATCTATCTCAGTCTCTAGGAATCTAATATACAAAACTACTACAAAAAGTGAAAAACAAAAGGACTGACCAGCAGAACAATCAGTATTTCAAAACATTTTGGGTTCTAATATCACTAGGTTTTAATATCTCTGAATTTCAGCAAGGGACAGTTCAATATTGACAACTCTACCTAAATTATGCATGGAAGAAACCTAATCACAATGAAAGGGGATAGCTAAAAACTCTAATTTAATGTAATCTGTAAAAGAAGCAACTACATCATTTATTTCTAAACTACTAAATTCTAGCATTTTGTTTGGTGATTTAACTGAATAAAAAATTTTATTTTAAAAATCTATTATTATAATGTGATAGATATTACTTACTAAAGTAGAATTTTCAAAAGCTTACCTTGTATTCTCTTGATAAGTTTCTATGTTATCAGATGTGGATGTTTCACTCCTATTACTTAAGCAGAAGGGGATAAAGTTAATATCTCAAGTAATAAAGCACATTATAGATTCATTAACTTGAACTGCTAACGAAGAAGACTAATCTGAATTTGTTTTAAAGGACTGAAATTCAAATAGTTCTGAATAATAAAATTATGGCGTTAATTACGTTTCAAACAAATTCTGATAAGACTGCTTAGACATCCTTATTCATGTCCTTTAAAATTTATGTATAGTTATAAAAGTATACAGAATAGAGAATACAGAATTTTGTAGAATTACCATAAATCTACAGCATGGTAACAGTTCCCCACCTCCACCTAGGCTAGTAAGTTTTTGAAAGCTTGGGTAGTAGACTCAAGAATTCATGAACTTTGATTTTTAACTAGAATATGATTTAAGATTGTGGCCTCCAAAGGTGAGAAGGTTTAAGAAAACATAAAGATATCATTATGTTCACTTTCCAAAAAGGAACTAGGCCTTCCAACATTTAATACACAACTTGATATCCTCATTCGGACCCCATGCCAGAGTCATGTGTTATATGCAACATTAGAAGAATCCTGAGGGGAGAGTGGGCTTTCCATACAGGAACTTATACATTACAGAGTTTCATCAATGTGGTCAATTTTATAAAAATGAAGCTTTCAATAGCAGAAATGTTAACATCGAAATGAGATAAGTAGTGTACAAAAACAATGTACCACACAAGGTTTGTTCTATCTCAATACCAAAGTTAAAAAACTGGTTACTCATTTTCCTTTTCCCAAAAGACAAGCAGTACAGCCTTGCCTCCACCCCACCACATATACAAGGATTTCACATCAGTAGAGTCAATCAACTGTGGACTAAATATATTTGGGAAGCAGTTTCAAAAAGCAAAATTTGAATTTGCCACACACTGAGCACTAAACTGAATTCATGCAAATGAAGTGATGGGGAGCCAAAGTCTGCTGTAGCCTAAATGCAAATACTATAGGTTATACGCAAATACTATGCCTTTTTATATAAAGAACTGGATCGTCCTCAGATTGTGGTATCCAAGTGGGGGCGTTGGGCGGGGGAGGTTCCTGGAACCTACTATCTACCTAACAGATGTTCTTTTCTTTTTGAATTTTCTTTTTTTGGTTTGTTTTTCATATAAAAGCTACACACAAGGTGTATTTAGTATAAAGACATCCTTGCAACGACAGTTCTCTGCAGTGAAGATAACAATGTTATCTCTCTACACATATTCTATGCCAGGCAAGCAAGCAAGCATCCTTGTTTCTTTACCAAATAGGAGACTGACTAAACCATTATTTTGTACCTTTCTAGCAAATAATAATCTGTCTCTTCAGGTAATGATGGCATTTTGACAATGTGGAGACTAAAAAATGCTTCTTAAAATAAAGTCAAACTATAGTAAGTGCATTTATTAAAGATATATTATAGTTTTGCTACCATAAACTGTATATGTCATCTATACTTTAAAATCTCACATCTATGTATTTAAACTTGGTAACAGATTTTTCTACTCGGTTTTAAAATTGTACAATTAAATATATAAAATCATTGGGTTTTAAGATTTTAAAACATTTTAGAAAAGCATAGTCAACAATACTGTTTTCAGTAAAAGTATTAACAAAACTTTAAGAAAATATACTATTAACTAAAGCAAAACTTATTTTTAAAGTAACTTTTTCATCTTTATTTCACTTAAATTTTGCATGTTTTATAATGTACGTTAAGTATCAGTACTATAAAACATATGCATAGTTTTTAAATAAACATATACTGGCAGAACATGCTCAAATTGTTTTCATTGATCAAGTATGCAATCACTAAACTTCTGATTTAAAGGATTTTAATATCAAAGTTAATGCCTTTTTAAAATGTTTACTCCCTTCTATTTCCTATTACAATTCTCTATTTCTCATCATTATTGTCATTAGCATTATTCTAGTCCTTCCTAATCATCCTGCATCACACTGGACCTCCCACTGGTAGCCTACTCACTCCAAAAATTCATGAATGGGTTCAACGATAGAAAATCTATTACAGACACCATATCATCAATTAAAAGAAAAAAATACATAACCATTTCATCTGATGCAGAAAAACCATTCAATAAAATTCAACTTCCATAATGGAAACAAACAAAAAACACCTCTGATCACCCACAATGCTTTAAAAAAAAAAATACAAATATCTACACTCTAGATAGCAGAATAACTAGGAATAAATCCAGATGCATATTTTTAATTCCATAAGATTGTGATTTAAATAGAACCATTTAATGGGAAAATCTTAAATTCAGGGTTAAGTGCATCATGGAACAGATAATATCTGTTAAAAAACATAGTAAACGTCACACTTAATAGTCAAATTTTAGATGCATTCCCACTAAAATTAAAAACAATAAAAAGATTTCTGCCATTTAATATTGGATAGAGATCCTAGTTACTGTAATAAATCAAGTATGATATGAAGCAGTTAAGAGACAAAGTTGTATTAAAAAAAAACTTCCCACATAATAAATCTACAAGAACCTACAGAAAAATTATTCAGAACTATTGAAACTAATAAATCAGTAAAGTTGCTAAATATAAGATTAACATAAAAATCCATAATATTCCTAACACATTAGTAAAAACCACTTAGATTATAAAACAGGAAAAAAGAACATTCGCATAGCAACAAAAAACTTTACGGTTTTACTAGAAAAATACATACTAAACCATTTACGTATGCTCGAAAAGGACTTCTTTTAGTACATTTTTTAAAAATAGAAGACAGGCAGTATTTCTAGGTGGGAAAAATCAGTATTATAAGATGACAATTCTTTCCAAATTAACCTATGACTTCAATAACTTCAACTGATCAAAACCTCTACAGGGACTTTGGGAAACTCAAAAAAAAAAGTCTGATCCTAAAATTCATATGGAATAGCAAAGGGTCAAGAATAGCAGAGATAATTTTGTAAAATAAAACAATGGGGGAAACTTTTCTTACCTGACAGTAAGACTTTCTGTTAAAGCTATAGTATTAAGAGAGCATGGTATACTAGAGGAATAAACAAATGGATCAACAGAACAGAATACAGGTGTAGGACTTAAGTGGCATTAAAAATCAGCGGAGAAAGAATGAACTCCTCAATGAATGGTACTGAGACAAATGGTTAAGCCCACACGGGGAAAATTTTCCTACTTCACATTATACATCCAAAATAAATGTGAAAAGCACAGCTTTAAAATGTTAAATATAAATATGAAAATATCTTTTATAACCTTAATTTGGGAAAGGATCCCTCAAGCATGACACAAAGAGCAAATTCCAAAAAGAATATAAATATTTTATGTATAACATATAAATTATAATATATAATACTTTTGTATGTCAAAAGACACCATTATGAGACTAACCAAGACTGAGTAAAGATATTTGCAATCAGGCAACAAAAGCAGAAACAGACAAGTGAGACTATATGAAACTAAAAAGCTTCTGCACAGCAAAGGAATAAATAGAGTGGAAAGGCAATATATGGAATAGGAGAAAATATTTGCAAATCATGTATCTGAATAAAGGGTTAATCTCCAAAATATATAAGGAACTCCTACAACTCAACAGCAAAGAATCTAATAACCTAATAACAAAAAGGGCTTAAAAATTTGAATAGACATTTCTCCAAAGATGACATATAAATGGCCAATAGGTATATAAAAAAGATGTTCAACATCACTAATAATCAGGGATATGCAAATCAAAACCAGAATGAGATATCACCTCACACCTGTTATGATAGCTATTATCAGAAAACAAGGCAACTGTTTGTGAGGATGTAAAGAAATTGGAACTCTTACATACTGTTAGTGGGAATGCAAAATGGTACAGCTGCTATGGAAAACAGTAGGGAGGTTCCTCAAAAACAATAAAAATAGAACTACCATGTGATCTAGGAATATCATTTTGGGTATTTATCCAAAAGGACTGAAATCAGTGTCTTGAAGAAGCATTAGCATTCCTATGTTTATTGCAGTACTATTCACAATAGCCAAGATGTGGAAACAACCTTGTGAACGGATAAAGAAAATGTGGTATATAAATACAATGGAAAATTATTCAGCCTTAACAGAAAAGGAAACCCTGCAAATGTAACATGAATGAACCTTGGGGACATTATACTAAGTTAAAACCAATCACAGGACAAATAACTACTTATTTGATTCCACTTAATATGAGGTATCTAAAATAGTCAATCTAACAGTCAAACTCCTAGAAGCAAAGAATAGAATGGTGGTTGTCAAGGTCAAGGGGGAGTTATGCAAGAGAGGTTCTAGAGATCTGCTGTAAAACATTGTCCCTACAGATAACAAACAATACCATAGTGCACATTTAAAATTCTGTTAAAAGAGTAGATATCTCATGTTAACTATCCTCACTACGATTAAAAAAATAATAATAATAATAAAACCATGTATGACTATGCCATTTTATGCTAAATTAAACTGTGAAATTCCCTAAAGCAAAGTTTTCAAAATATCACAGTATCTCACTTCTAGCCTTTTTAGAATATGGAAAAAAAAACTCAAGTTCTATATTTATGTGTTTTATAAAACAGCAAAAAAAATTCAATTTTGAGTAAAAAATTATTTGCAATGTATGTAATACAGGATTATTATCTACAACACATAAAGAATGCCTAAAAATAAGGACAAAGGAAATTTATCTAGTACTTGTACCAGATTCCTTAATGGTAATTTAGCCACATAAAATGTCCAACACCTTGGAGAGAAATCTATTAGAAACAATGTAAGGCTGCTTGCAATTTTCATTCTTCCAGTTATTATGAAGAGCTGTATATGGATTAAACTATATGAGGTTACTGATATCAAGTTATCAATGTTTAAGAGAGTCCAGATTACTAGGAAAAGCCTGCTAACAGAACAAACAATTTCCAAGGAAGCTAAAACAGAAATGTGTTCTGGTTTATTTAATTACATGCATCCTCCCTCTCTCTTCCTCCTCCTCACTTCCAGTGGCTAAAGAAAACAAAGACAGTCTTATGTTACAAGCAGAACTGTAATGTTATGAACTAGAAATGGCCTTAAAAACAAATAGCTCTGCTATATAATTATTATGAGAAACTAACCATGTTGATGCAGCAATTTTGTTAAATGTCCTCCAACATTAGTTTATAGTAATAGTTGTAACTCTGAAGATCTGACAGAAACTACTGCTAGTTTATTTTCATCACTCAACTGGAAGTTACACTGTTTACATATATGGAAAAGGGGATTACGTCTGTTTAATGCTTCCCTGTATATTCAATAACATGTAGAGTGTGTCCAGTATTTCAGAAGGGACAATAAATATATGTTGAATTAATGAAATGATCTATGGGCTTATTTTGAAATTATTTTGACAAGTATACATAAATACTACTTTAAGAATTTCCACAGCCATTGAGTCCAGAGTTTAAATCATCCATTTGTATTTGAGAGAATACTGTGAATTATATTCTAAGATAACACAGGCCCTACTATGAGGTGGCTCCCTGAATTTGCATTAAAGTCATGAATCTTTGTAAGATGCCACCAAAACCTGCTCGGCTAACAGCTACAGTATATGAACCTGCTCTTAATCAGCAATATAAAATAAATTTGCTCTCCAGTTACTTGACAAAGAGCAGAAATTTTAAATTTTCCAAAGTAAAGTGTTTATCACAAAGCATAGCTGCTAGAAATGATCTTCATGGAGAACTGCCTGAATGTATACATCTTGTCCATTCTACCACATCTAGATTAAGCCAAAATATCAGAGAAGAGCCCCTAAAAAAAAAGCTTTAATAAATTGCAATAACCCATGTGATAGGCTACACTGAAGGTCTTTAAAGTACAGTCCTACGTAACAAGAGGAAAGTTAGATTATACTTATTTCCCAGACTCCTTTCAAGCAAAATTGCCTTGACTGACTGCACCCCTAACTGTCCTCTCCAACAGCTTTCTTTCTCCAAGCTCTGGTATGTACTTCCTCCCCTCCCGTTTTTGGTAGACCCAGAGTATATCACTATTCTTTGTGAATTCCTTCTCACATACTGTACTGGATACCCTACTCTTTGAAAATAGTCCCTTTACTAAATTCTCCTCAAACTACCTAATTTGAGCATATTATCTGTTTCCTCCCAAGATCCTCGCTATATTCTAGCTTCATATCTTATATTTCCTACCATTTTTTTAAAAAAAACCTTATTTTCTTCCTTTCACCAATTTCCTTATTAAAAATTCACATATAAACTCAATTTTTCCATTGCAATTATAATTTTGCATAGGATATAAATAAGACTCAAAAGCCCATTCTAAATTAAAAAACATAAGTAAACTAATATAATAAAGTATTAGAGGGTCTAGTTAGAGCATAAGGAACAGTTCTACCATGAGGAAGATATTCTATAGGTTGGGAAAGATTTCACAGAGTAGCTAACAATTGGTCTAAGTCTTTAAAGAGAGGAAAAAGTCTACCATTTGGCAAAGTGTGGGTTGGGGGAATGGGGAAAGGTAATACTATTGGTAAAAATATAGAGGTGAGGGGATGATGATGATGATGATGAAGACGACGACGATGACTAAAAACTAACATTTACCAAACAAGGTAGTAGTCAATACGCTTTACCTATATTAACCTATTTATTGACTTCCAACCCAATAAGGTGCTAATAGTATCTTCACCACTACCCCCTTTCTTTAAACAGATTAAAAAACTGAAGTACGATTTCTTGCCAAAGCCATACAATTAGTTAAGTGACAGAGCTTGGAACCAAAGCAGTCTGGCTCCAAGCCTTCATTTTTAATCATTAAGCTATGTTGCTTCTCAAGGATGGCAAGGATATAATGCAAATTATTGGCTAAGGCATATGATGCAATGATGGGAAACCAAGAAAGAGAAAGGCTAAAAAGAAAGGCAAGTGCCAGATCAGAAAAGGCTTTAGAATAAGAAATTTTCTTATTTATATGGCTTATCATATAAGCCAGCTGTTGGATTTTAGATCATGGAATCCCTTGAGAATCCTGAGATCTTTCTCCAGGAAAATGCACATAAACAAACATTTGGCCATTTAGGTAGTTTAGAGCTCTTACTGACTCATGGAACCCTAGATGAGAAACACGATTATGGGGCCATATGAAGTCACTGACAAGGTATAGGGAGAATGGTAAAAGAATAGGGAGAAAGAAATAAGAATTGTACTTCTAAACTATCACTTTAGCAAAAGTATATAGACAGATTAGAGGAGGACCACCACCTAAAGGACTGGTGCCATAGTTCAAGTGAGAGATGATGAGGGCTTGAGCTAGGGAAGTGACAAGAAAGGCACAGATGAGAAGCACTGCTATTAGGAATCGATAGTACCTACGACAAACTGGATCTGAGGAAGAAGGCATGTCTCCTGAGAAGAAAATTCTGTCATTTAACAAGCAGTGATTGCACAAATCATATATACTAGGAACTTGAGTAATTTCAATATAAAAGTACAATAATAAAGAAAGCATAAGGGATGAAGGAACCTAAGGGGATTTTTTTTTTTAAATCACAAAATAGATGTGACCAATTTCATCCAATGAAACGAAGTCAAGTAAAATGAGAACATAAAAGGATTTTTGCAGACTAGGCAATCAGAAAATTACTAAAGACCTTTACTAGAACAGTTTCAACTGAGGGGTAGGAAAGATGTCTGACTACAGTATGAGTGGGTTAAATTACCAAAAATTAGCAACATGTGAAACGAAACGCTACTAAAATAAAATCTTAGAGTCTCTGCTAAATACCATCTCCTGTGAGCCCTTCCATAATACTACCTCTACTGCCTTTCCTTACACAATAGTGTGTGTGCTTGCTATTGAGTTTTAAAAATTAAACTCTTCATTGTTAGGGATACATGCATGAATGGTATACCATAAAGAACAAGGGAATAACCCCAGAAAGAGGATAGTCGTTACCAATGGCAATATGCGATTCAGATGGACATGGGCTCACAAAAAGTTTTTTAAGGTCCTAAAAATGTTCTATTTTTTGACCTGGGTTAGTGAGTGACTGGATTATTTATCACTACTTTTTAAATCACACATGTGCATTTCGGCCAGTCTTCTGCATAAAATACATTTTATAAAAATGTCTAATATACAGAAATCTGAGACAATAAGATACAAATAAAGCCAAAACCTAGTTTTTAAAAAATTGAGACTAAAATAGAACTAAAAATTTAATAGTACCAGGTCTCACTTTTACATGATATTTTATTATCAGAGTAAAACTCTCAATCAATTCTATTTTTTAGATAGCAAAAAAAGAAGATTCTAGTTTGCATATACATTACTGAAAGGGATTTTCTCTAGTTTTTAAACAATTTCAGTTGCAAAAGAAAATAGTCTTCAATTTTTTATTAAAAAAGTGTAGATTTTCCTAAAATGGTTTTTAAATAACATAAGCATATCATGAAGTTATCTCCCAGATGCATTTTAGATGTAGCAACTTTTGCATATACAAATGATATGGTTCTCAAATCATTTTACGTTAAAAACAGACAAACAAAAAACATCTTATCATATAGTTCCCCAAACGATTTCCTTTCTAACTCTAAAAATTCTCTTTTTAAGAATAAATATTGCTTACCTGTTCCCTACTGAATCTTGAGAGATCTGAAAGTTTGGAATGACTGCAGAAACACCATATTCATCTTGATACTTCTTACAAGATTTGTAATGATGTCTCATGCGATAGAATTTAATCTGTAAATTATTGATTAAAATGTAATGTGACTATAAAATAGAAATCATAAGATTTGAGATAAAAATAGATAACTAAATAATCCATTTAAACAAGAGGTTTTTTTAAAAAAATAAGATTCTTAAGTGGAGCTAAAAATTGGTAATAAATTTTTGTCCATTAGACACAGATAAAATGGAGAAAAGTCCATCTGTCTGTAAACTCACTGAAAAAAAAAAATTAAATAATTTTACATTTAAAAAATATTACTAATAATAGACAAGAAATAAAAGGACTATGAGGAGGTTGCCTCATGGTATTGGGCATTTCTTTATTCTTTAACTACTGCAACTTGGCAGAGTTAGAATGTACTTTAAAAATTAAGTTCCAAGGTTGACACTTGGAACATTTTTCAGTTTCTCAGAGTAGAGCCAAAATCTTTCAAGTGTGTTTTCCAGCTTCACTTCATTGCTCTGTCAGTTAACACCTCCCTCAAAGAGATGGAAAAACAGATGTGACTTGTCTGAATGCATGAAATAGCAACTGTTTTACTCACTGACTTTATTAGCTGATTGAAAAAGTGCCTGCAATAAATCTATAAACACCCCTCACCATTTCCCTCTCTCTACAAATGATAGAACAGTAAAATCCATATTGGAGAACTAATGCCAGTCATTTGCCAATACCTGATTTTCCCACTTGTTCCTTAAAACTTAAACAAAGTCTTCTGCCAAATATTTTGTGATTTCTTAAACACATAAATACACAAGTAAAGTGGGCAGCTAGAGAGTTCCTTGACTACATAAATCCATTTGGCCCATTTCTATGTGCAAAATTCTAATACTACCATCAGAAAAATTACTTAAAAGTTGAATTTGTACCAGAATGGGTTTAAATGAGTTAAATGACAGTTTGCTTATTTAATTTAGGAAATAACAAATGAGAGATTAGAGGAAAAACCATGCTAAAAATTATGGTGAATTCAGAGACTGTATCTTTCAGTCTCCTCTGTTTTCAATTAAGTTTATAATCTAGTAAAATCTATAGTCACAGCTTTTTTGTCATTTTCTACCCAATTTCCAATCTAAATAACTTCTTTTTCTTTAAAACATCACCCACCAAGAAAATTCAGACAAGAATTTCAGAGTAGAAACTTGACTTTCGAAGAAGAGCCATGTCACATTTACTCTACCTGTTTTGCACAGCATCTGCAGCTACCAGAAAACTTCCTCATGATATTTTCAAGGTCTAAGGCGCGTTCAGGACATGCTCTCTCTCTTCTAGTCACATTTCCACGACAGAGAGGACAATGTATTCCACTTTCTCTCATTGCAGTCAGGAAACATTTTCTACAGAAACTAAATCAAACATTTTTGACATGTTAACTATAGAAAAAAAAGTAATCTTTCCATTAAATATAAACAAGTGGCTATGAATATGTATTCATGCTAAACGAATTAGGCTATTCACGTGTACGTAAATCTCGGAATTTTAAAAACTGGACTAGATGACAATATTAAAAAAACTACACTCGAGTCTGATTTATTATTTTTAGCATAATATATGGAAAGTAAATATTAATATTGTATAACATTATCAGTCAGAAGCAGTGTGGTACAAAAGAGTGGATTTCATCCTCTGTCATTTTAGTAGCTGTGTGCTCTCAGTAAACACTTAACAGCACACTGAATCTCCATTTTCTCCCCTTACAAAATGAAAAAATGGACCATATTAGCCTTTGTCTCAAACTGATGTACTTCAAGATGTTATTCCACAGGATACGAATAGGTCTACTACAGAACAGCACTCAAATTGATTTGGCAAATTCTAGGATAAACAAAGTTAAGGTTTCTCTGCTAAGGAAAACAAGTGTTGCCTAACCTTATTTATTTGGTCAGGAAATATAAAAATTTCCCACAACAATGTGCAAGAGAACATAATTTGAGAAATATTTAAGAACTGTTCCAGCTCTAAACATCTATAACCAACATTCTTATTGAAACCAAATTACTAAAACTTTAATTTCTTCTCCTCTAACCCAATCACTAAAATATTTCTCTCCGTCCCCCCAACCCAAACAAATACCAAACTTGATCATTTTTCTCTTAGAAAAACCAGATAAATTATTGCCATCTATATCTGGGATCTTACAGTAAGTATGCATTTAATCCAATCCCCTACAAAAAGAAATATACCAATCTTCCTCAACTATAACTAAAGTTGAGAGGTAGTAGTCTAATAATATCACAGAATCTGAGCTTCCTAACTATGCAGCATTGAACGAATTGCTTTTCTCCTCTAAAATCAATTTCCTCACCCACAAAATAATAAAAGTATCTACATTTGATAGGGTTGTACAGAAGATTAAAATAGTATGCCTTAAAATGCTTGTCCCAGTCAGTATTTTTGACAGTCAGGAAAGTCCTCAAAAAATAACAGTTAATATCACTTAAGTACCCTTAGAAGTGATTACCAATTAAGACCACATATTAAAACATTAAAAATATTCACCAAAACCAAGAGTCAAAAAAAAAAAAAAAACCCCAAATAATATCGATAACATTTTTCAGTGCCAAAATAAACTAGTTTTAAAAACAATAACCAGTGTTAAAGGAAACATAAGGAAATGAATGCTCCACATATCTGGAGAGCAATCTGTCAATCTTTAAAGAGAGGGTATGCAAAAGTCTGAGTGTCATTTTAAGCTTTAATAACTTCTAAAATATAAATACTACAAAGTTACAAAAACCATCAATTTTAAGTTTGTTCAAATTAAAAATGGAAAGGTTGTGTTTTGTAAATTTTCAATAAATTTTTTATTTAAATTGTTTTTGTTAGTGTTTGCATTCTTTAATCAGAGGGACTATAAAAGCAAAAAAGGAGGAATCAGACCAAAAACAAACAAGACCATAATAAGGTCTGAGCTGAGGTAGGGGTAGTAGGCAAAGACATAGGATCTTTTAAGGACACAGTTCTCAGTGTTTGTGACTGTGTATGAAGGGAGCTTCCTATGTTAAAAAATAAAGGACGTGGTTCTATAGTGTAGCGGTTAGCATGTCTACTTTACACACAGAAGGTCCTGTGGAGCCATGGTCCACGGTCTACAGCCATGCCACCCTGAACAAGCCTGATGCCTGATCTCAGAAGCTAAGCAGGGTCGGGCCTGGTTAGTACTTGGATGGGAGACCACTTAGAAAGACCAAGTGCTGTAGGCATACATAATAAATAATTAAACAAAAAAAGAAAGACCATTCTCTTAAAAATTAAATAAAACAAAATCAACAGAACTTTTTGACAATTACTTATGGGAAAATGAAAAAACAAGCATTTCTAACTTAGAAGACCGATTAAAAGGCAACTGTATTAACCACGTTAAGAAATATTGGAAGGAGTTGTACTGACAGAAGGTAAGAGCAAGCTCAACGTACCTATAAAAATCTCAATGTGTGATATCCGGTAAGCAACTGGAAAGATGGTCCCAGAAATTATAAAGAAAAATATGGAGAGCAGATAAGGTGACTGAAAAGCACTAAAGAAATAATCTAGACAAATATAAACTTTTAAAGGAATGTTCAGAGAAGGAAGAGTCAGAAAAAGAGAATAAGACTATGTAATGTTATAGAAGCCAAATCCAACATGCTATCAAAGAGAAATAATAGAGATGAAGGTAAAACTACCACCAAACTATTAATTTTAAGGTGAATCTTCTTCTTTAAATAGAAATTTAAACTGTCAACAAAGTTCATGCCGGCAAAATTCATTAAAGGGATAATAATGCATAAAAATGATGGAGCCTGAGTGAAAGAAATGAAGTAGAATACTACTAGCAAGAAAATTAGTCAAAATGCTGCCTAATTTAATTATAGATAAAATATAGATTAAAAGATTTTAAACAACTAAGACGTACAAACAAAAGCTGTATGAAGAGAATATAAAATAAAGCAAAATTTCAAAGCCCACTTATTTAACAACTAAAGTAGTAACAGTGTGATCATACTATATACCACCAGAATGACTAAAATGAAAAAAGTACTAATACTAAGTGTTGGGGAAGATATGAACCAACCTAAACTATATTCGATGGTACAGGAGTGTAAACTGATACAACCATCTGGAAAATTAATACAACCATTTGGAAAACTGTTTGGCAGTATCTACTCTAGCACAGTAATTCCACTCTGAAATATATACCCAACAGAATTGCATATATGATCGGAAGGAATTTCCTAGGAAGTTCATAGCCGCACTACCTGTAACAGCCCAAAGCTGAAAACTACACAAATGTCCATCAACGAAAAAATAAAATTGTGGCATGTTATCAAAATGAAACTAAAGCACACTGTAATGAGAACAAATATGGACGTTCATAATGTTGGCTACAGAAGCCAGAAGCCAGATGCAAAAGAATACAAACTGCTTGTTTGTATTTTGGAAACTACAGGTAAAACTATATGGTTAAAATCGGGACAGTGGTATCCTGGAAGAGCTGGGATGTGGGCCTTGGAGAAGGGAGAAAAAGGAGTTTCCAGAGTGCTGATAATGTTCTGTTGCTTGATGTAGATGCTGAATACACAGGTGTGTTTAGTTTGGGAAAAATTCATTGAGATGGCCATTTATGATGGAGCACTTTTCTGTTATCTATATTATACTTACACACAAAAAAATGTTTAATTAGAATAAAAGCAAGGGTAATTATGTTAAAACTGTTATAAATAGTAGCCAAGTTAATTATCACTTAACTAAGCTTAAAATAAAAACAAATTGCTATAATCTAAAGCTAAAAAGATTGTCTACAGAATATAATGATTTTAAAAAGACCAATACCCCGGGGAGGGGAGGAATAAAAAAACAGATGACTTACTAAAGAAAGAGAAATCAGATCAGCATCAAAATCATCAGCAATAAGCAGCAGATGGCAAAATAATAGAATGTGTTCAAAGTACTGCAGAAAAATGATTTACAACCTATAATGTCATCTTCTGGATACGAAATCATTTGCTTTATGTATTTTAGGCATTTCTGATACAATGCAATCAATATATGTAATACTGAAAACCTGCATTCTGCAAAACTGCACACTAAAACATACAGGGCTGTAGGAAAAAATGGCTGGGGTAGACCTGTGCAACCCTATCACCAGAGCACTAACAAGAACCCAAACAATCCTAATGATACATTTAAAAGACATTTAAGCTCCTAATAAATACTTGACCCTAAAATTATAGAAAGGGGTCAGAGGGTTATAAGGAATGGTTGCAGCTGGTAAATTTTGGAAATAATGTAAAATGCAGAAAAGAAAAACCATGCAATAGCTATTCCAAGAGAAACAAAGCTCATGGCCAAAGTGAACCAAGAAGGATGCAGGCTGAGCATTTTGTATAATAGTAAATAATTCTGTGGCTTGTTAATCAGCTGCGTTTTAGTGTACTTTGCTTCAGCTGCCATTTGCTGATGGCCTAAAACAACAATGTGCAAGAGGAAAAATCACATATAAACCAATCTATTCTGATATAATCTGTTACAGAACAAGAGTATCATTGTTCAGTCTATCACTTGTATTTAACATTGTGATCTTTTGATATGGAAATTTAAAAAATTTTAATGTAATCTAAATTCATCACCTTTTCCTAAATTTCAATTTGTGCTTTCATAGTCTTAAGCCTTCCCCTTCTCAAAGTCAGAAATAGTCCTCTGCATTTCCATCTAAAAAGTTTAAGTTTTGCTCATCATATTTAAGTTTTTAATCCACCTGGAAAATATTTTTATGTATAGAATTCAGTAGATATTCCATATGCAAAAGCCATTACTCAAACACTATTCTACTGAACAAGTCATCTTTTCCCACATTGATTTGTGATGTCATATCTATTAAAGATAAAAGTTCTAATATATGTGTGGGACTATTTCTGGTGCCTCTAATATGTTCTACTCATCATTTATGAGCTGCTAAATCAATACCATACCATTTTAATTACTATAGCTTCACAATATGTCATATTTGGTAGGGCTGATTCTATCCCTACGTTCTACTTTTTCTAAATTTTCTTAATCATTCATGGTCACTAACTCATCGTTAGAATCTTTTAATCAGTTTTTTAAGTTCTACAAAAAAATCATGCTGAGTTTTATTGCAATTGCATTAGCATTTTTAGAATTATCTGGGGGAAGAACTGGCATCTTAATTTTATTCAATCTTTCTATCCATAAATGTTATGTTTCTTCACTTATTCAGATCACATGCTTTATAATAAAGTTTTAAAATTTTCCCTATAGAAGACTTGTACATTTTTATTAGACTTATTCTAATAAATACTTTAAATTTTCTAAATATTTATACATTATTATTTTATTGCTATTA